TCACCTGTGTAAGATGTTGAGTGCTAGTTCATGAGTGACCAGCTGAAAATCTTTCGGTTGTGCTTCAAACATGCAACCAGAGAAAATGGTGCTCCCACGTGGAATCTAGCGAGGAAGATATGGGCGGAGACAAAAAAACCCCCCAAACACCCGGCAGAGCTGGCAAGCAGGACTGAGTACGGAGACATTTGAGATGAGAGGAAGCCATCATATCGATCTTCCTGAATAAATTGACTTATTAGTCCCATGACTTACGCGTTTCGGCATTTAGCCTTGATCATAGCCATAGCCAAGTGCCGGGACAAATGTTATCACCGATCCAATCAATAGGAGTAGAGAGAGGATTCTAATACACACATCACTGATAACGATCACACAAGAGGAGGGAATTCCTCAGGAGGCATGGATCAACGCGTTTCTCATTTGCGCTTCCTCAGGACGCGTGGAGATACAGTAGCAATGATTGGACATACAAAGAAATACATATAAATGAAGTATATACATATGTAATGTAAAATGTATGCACTTTATAAAGTTTCTTTTTTGTATTTCTATGTATGTCCGGTCATTGCTGCTGTATCTCCAAACGTCCTGATGAAGTGCAAACAAGAAACGCGTTGCCCCACGAGGACTCAGGACCACATTTATTGTTCTAGAGGATTAAGAGATCTATATATCAGAATATTAATATATACCAATGTAGAAAGTAGGACTTGTATCCAAGTGGTGTTCTATATCGTTTGTATTTAATGTTTTTATTGTCTTTTTATACTTAATGTTTATTACACAGAACTGTAATTTTTCCTGTTTGTTCCCCAATAATGTCAAATCCTCAGATTTTTCTCATTTTTGATTTATATATTTGGGTGTGGCATATGAACCGTATTTTTCTATTTTAAAGTTGTACTGGGGTTGTCGGTTTAAATTCCAACCACGGCACCACCAGGCATGTTCTCCTTGTGCCTGTGTGGGTTTCCTCCGGGTACTCCGGTTTCCTCCCACACTAAAAAAGCATGCTGGGAGGTTAATTATCTCCTGTCTAAATTGGCCCCTAGTATGTTACTGGTAAGGTTAAATAAAGACACTGGTCCATCTAGTGCAACCTGTGTGTGTAATTCAATGTCATTTTCCATTTCACTGTATATTGCATTCACTAAGATACCCATCTAAGAGGTTGTTTTTTAAAAACGATTGACACCACTGGTTGGAGGAGGGAGTTCCACATCCTCACCAGTGTATGAATGTAAGTTCGGGACCTTCGATTGTACGCTCCTTGGGTACAGGAACTGATGTGACCGTACAATATATATACAGGGGCGGACTGACAACTCATGGGGCCCCTGGGCAATAGGGATCATGGGGCCCCTGTGTCCTTGCCCAAACTCAAAAAAGCCTATGAAAAAGGTACCAGGGGCATCTCATAGGGCCCCCTACTGACCCTGGGCCCTCGGGCAGTGCCCGAGTTTCCAAATGGTCAGTCCGCCCCTGTATATATATATATATGTAAAGTGCTGCATACATTGACTGTTTCTGTAGAAGATGAAAAGAGATACAATGTAAACATTTACATCATAAAAAAATATTAGAAGATGTGAAAATTTTTTTTTTAATAATTATTTTTTTCCGTCAAACATTTACTAATGTGATTTTCTGGTCCTTGTACGGATCTGGGTTCCTGGAGGTGACAAGTCCCTGTGGATGGATTGTGGTGACGGTTCGCTCTCCTCTGTATCTGTGTGATAAATACATCAATAAAGTCATATTGTATCATTGCGTCCGTTCCTGCGAATTCTGTACATTTCCCTTCATTCTGTCTCCGGTGTACGAGATACAATTCACTGCAGTCAGCGGGGGAGGGGGCAGATTGCAGCGTCTTCATTGGTCACTATATCAGCATTACAACGTACAGGGTAATCGCGTTATCTTTGTCATGACATTGAAGCCCCGCCCCCCCACTTTACAGCATCATGTTATAAACTGCTACTGTGAGATCAGACATTGATTTTATATTATTTTGTAACAATAAAAGTCTGTCATTTTTTGCAAATATTTTTTCATTGTGGATTTTGGTGCCTTTAACCCCTTGACCAGGACATTTTTTATTTTTTTTGCTATGCAGCACTGCGCTACTTTAACTGGTAAGTGCTCGGTCATACAACGCTTTACCCAAATGAAATTTCTTTCTCTCTCTTTAATATATATACATTGAAGGAAATGCGTATTTGCTCCCCCGGCTGATGCTGAATGTTCGTTCGCCCCTCACACAGAAATGATCGGTCTAACAATGGAATGTTCACCCCTCACACAGAAATGATCGGTCTAACAATGGAATGTTCGCCCCTCACACAGAAATGATCGGTCTAACAATGGAATGTTCTCCCCTCACACAGAAACGATCGGTCTAACAATGGAATGTTCGCCCCTCACACATGTTCGCCCCTCACACAGAACAATGATCGGTCTAACAATGGAATGTTCGCCCCTCACACAGAAATGATCGGTCTAACAATGGAATGTTCGCCCCTCACACAGAAATGATCGGTCTAACAATGGAATGTTCGGTGTAACACTGAGAGACAGAATACAACAACAAATTCAGCAGAAATGCGTCTAACAAATGATGACGGATCTGCATGTTCATGAGGGAAAGAAGGATTGGATCCCCTATCATTCAGCAGGATTTCTGGTTCCCAGGTGTCTCTCATACAGGTAACAAGCTGAGATTAGAAGCAGTCTCTTAAAGGGAGTGCTGCTAATCTCATTGTGTTACCTGTATAAAAGACACCTGTCCACAGGAGCCATCAAACCATCAGATTCCAAACTCTCCACCATGGCAAAGACCAAAGAGCTGTCCAAGGAGGTCAGGGACAAGATGGTAGACCTACACAAGGCTGGACTGGGCTACCAAACTAAGGCCAAGCAGCTTGGTGAGAAGGTGACAACAGTTGGTGCAATCATTCACAAATGGAAGAAACACAAAACAAGTGTCAGTCTCCCTAGGTCTGGTGCACCATGCAAGATCTCACCTCGTGGAGTGTCAATGATCATGAGAACAGTGAGGAATCATCCCAGAACTACACGTGAGGATCTTGTCAATGATCTCCAGGCTGCTGGGACCACAGTCACCAAGAAAACAATTGGTAACACACTACGCCGACAAGGACTGAAATCCTGCAGTGCCCCCGCACGGTCCCTCTGCTCAAGAAAGCCCATGTCCAGCCCGTCTGAAGTCTGCCACTGAACATCTGAATGATGCCGAGGAGGACTGGTGGGAAGTGTTGTGGTCAGAGGAGACCAAAATCCAGCTCTTTGGCATCAACTCAACTCGCCGTGTTTGGAGGAGGAGGAATGTTGCCTATGACCCCCAAGAACACCATCCCAACTGTGAAACATGGTGGTGGAAACATTCTGCTTTGGGGGTGTTTTTCTGCTAAGGGGACAGGACAACTGCACCGCATCAAAGGGACGATGGACGGGGCAATGTACCATCAAATCTTGGGTGAGAAGCTTCTTCCCTCAGCCAGGGCATTGAAAATGGGTGGTGGATGGGTGTTCCAGCATGACAATGACCCAAAAACACACGGCCAAGGCAACAAAGGAGCGGCTCAAGAAGAAGCACATTAAGGTCCCAGAGTGGCCTAGCCAGTCTCCAGACCTTCATCCGATTGAAAATCTGTGGAGGAGCTGAAAGTTCGAGTTGCCAAACGTCAGCCACCAAACCTTAATGACTTGGAGAGGATCTGCCAAGAGGAGTGGGCCAAATCCCTCCTGAGATGTGTGCGAACCTGGGGGCCAACTCCAGGAAACGTCTGACCTCTGTGATGGCCAACAAGGGATTGGCCACCAAGTACTAAGTCATGTTTTGTGAAGGGGATCAAATCCTTCTTTCCCTCATGAACATGCAGATCCGTCATCATTTGTTAGACGCATTTCTGCTGAATTTGTTGTTGTATTCTGTCTCTCAGTGTTACACCGAACATTCCATTGTTAGACCGATCATTTCTGTGTGAGGGGCGAACATTCCATTGTTAGACCGATCATTTCTGTGTGAGGGGCGGGGCGAACATTCCATTGTTAGACCGATCATTTCTGTGTGAGGGGCGAACATTCCATTGTTAGACCGATCATTTCTGTGTGTTTCTGTGTGGGGCGAACATTCCATTGTTAGACCGATCGTTTCTGTGTGAGGGGCGAACATTCAGCATCAGCCGGGGAGCAAATACACATTTCCTGCACTGTATATATATATATTCAGTAGTACCTCGGTTTATGAACGCCTCGATTAACGTAATTTTCAGTTTACAAATAAAATCCTTTGAAAATAAAAGCTGAAAATTGGCCTGGGCCAGAAGGAAGTGTCCCGTATTGACGTAACATGTTGGGTATCTGTTTACTCAGCACAACCTCATATTTTAACCCCCAAAGAATAGGTAATATATCACATTTGTGTGAGCTAAAACTAACTTTAGTGTACTTTTTATTGAAAATTTGATATAATATTGTGCAACAAGAAAAACTGAAACTGGCACCATTTTATTCTCCAGAGTCTTTGTTTTTGGAAAATATATACTGTTTAGTGGTTTTAACTGATCTTAAGGACTAAAATGATTTTATTTTAACCCCCCCCCCCCCCCCCAGGCCAATTTTCAGCTTTCAGCACTATCACACTTTGAAAGACAATTGCGCAGTCATGCGACACTGTAACTATATGAATTTTTTTGAGACAGATAAAAAAACAACAACTTTATTGTTGCGGTATTTATTCACCGTTGGGATTTTTATTTTTTTGCTATATAAATGAAAAAGTCCAAACATTTAAAAAAAAAAAAGTGTTTATTTTTTATAAAATTTTGCAAATAAGTACCGTATTTTTCGCTCCATAAGACGCACTTTTTTCCCCCCAAAAAAGGGGGGAAAATGTCAGTGCGTCTTATGGAGCGAATATAGAGCGGCCGGTCCGGTATTTCCACCGCCGCCGTGCAGAATATCGGGCCGGCCGCTCAGCTCTGCAGCGGGACCTTAAGGAGAGGACTGCTGACCTTTGGGGAGGTGGGGAGCGGGTACCTGAATTGGACAGGTACCCGCTCTTACTTCTTTGACCTTACCTGTTCCTCTATCCAGCGGCGTGCTGTCTTCCCGGCTTCTGTAGTGTGGGCACTGGGCATGACAGCCAGGTGCCAAGTGTGCATGCGCGGTGCTTTTTTGTCAATGGTAAGGCGGTACCTGGGACACATGACCGATCCCAGAAGCCGCCGGACCAATCACAAAGCGCAAGTGCTTCTCGCTCATGCGCACTGGGCACCCGGCTGTCATGCCGAAACGCCATTACAGAAGCCGGGAAGACAGCGCGCGGCTGGATCGAGGAACAGGTAAGATGAAAGAACAACTCCACGGAAGTGGGAGCGGGTACCTGTCAAATTCAGGTACTCTCTCCCCACCTCCCCAAAGGTCAGCAGTCATCTCCTGTGCTGTCCACAGTCTCTGGTCATCCCTGTGCTGTCCGCAGTCTCTGGTCATCCCTGTGCTGTCCGCAGTCTCTGATCATCCCGTGTACTATGTGTCTCTGGTCATCCCCTGTACATGTCCGCTCTGGTCATCCCTGTGCTGTCCGCAGTCTCTGGTCATCCCTGTGCTGTCCGCAGTCTCTGGTCATCCCTGTGCTGTCCGCAGTCTCTGGTCATCCCTGTACTGTCCGCAGCAGTCTCTGGTCATCTCTGTGCTGTCCGCAGTCTCTGGTCATCCCTGTACTATGTCTGCAGTCCATTAGTTCAGAATTTTTTTTTTCCTGTTTTCTGCCTCTAAAACCTAGGTGCGTCTTATGGAGCGAAAAATACGGTAATCTCTTTCTAAATCTTGGCCAAAATGTATTCAGCTACCTTTTTAACCGTTTCAATACCGGGCAATTTTCCACCTTCCCCCCCAGGCCAGGTTTCAGCGCTCTCACACTTTGAATGACAATTGCGCGGTCATACAACATTGTACCCAAACTAAAATTTTATAATTTTCTTCACACAACTAGAGCTTTCTTTTGGTGGTATTTAATCACCGCCGGGGTTTTTATTTTTTGCTAAATTAACAAAAAAAGACCAAAAATTTTGAAAAAAAAAAACACATTTTTCTTTGTTTCTGTTATAAAAGTTTACAAATAAATAATTGTTCTTCATAAATTTAGGCCGAGATGTATTCTGCTACATGTCTTTGGGGAAAATAACCCAAATTAGGATGTATTATTTAGTTTGTAGGAAAGTTATAGAGTTCACAAACTATGGTATAGATCTGAATATTGATCAATCCTGAAGTACTGACAGCCAATCTAATATCTTGAGGTCCAAGAATGTCAGAACAGTACAGATATCCCCCAAATGTCAGGACAGTACAGATATCCCCCAAATGTCAGGACAGTACAGATGTCCCCCAAATGTCAGGACTACAGATATCCCCCAAATGTCAGGACAGTACAGATATCCCCCAAATGTCAGGACAGTACAGATGTCCCCCAAATGTCAGGACAGTACAGATATCCCCCAAATGTCAGGACAGTACAGATATCCCCCAAATGTCAGGACAGTACAGATGTCCCCCAAATGTCAGGACGGTACAGGTATCCCCCAAATGTCAGGACGGTACAGATATCCCCCAAATGTCAGGACAGTACAGATATCCCCCAAATGTCAGGACGGTACAGATATCCCCCAAATGTCAGGACGGTACAGATATCCCCCAAATGTCAGGACAGTACAGATATCCCCCAAATGTCAGGACGGTACAGATATCCCCCAAATGTCAGGACGGTACAGATATCCCCAAATGTCAGGACAGTACAGATATCCCCCAAATGTCAGGACAGTACAGATATCCCCCAAATGTCAGAACAGTACAGATATCCCCCAAATGTCAGGACGGTACAGATATCCCCCAAATGACCCCTTTTTGCAGAGTAGACAGTCCGACGTACTTCATAAGAGGCATGGCGAGTTTTTTGAAGTTGTATTTTTTTGTCATAATTTTTCGGAAAATGAAAAAATTAAAAAAATTATTTTCACAATTTTTTTTTTTACATACTGTCACCAGTGCAGTACAGCGTCATCATATAACTGGCATGGCGGTGATCAGGGACACTGACTGGTGACAGTATGAAAAAAAAAAAATATATATATTTTTTTTTTTTTTTTTTTTTTTTTATTATATTTAATTTTTTATTACATATTTTTTTATTTTTTTTAAGATTTTCTTTTCATATTTTACTATGACCAAAATAGTACAATGTTACCATAGTAACATTGTACTACTTTGGGGGAGTGATCAGTATTTTTTTTTTTTTTACACAATTTGCTTGTAGCAAAGAATTACTTTGCCATAAGCAAGCATTTACCTGAATGAAATCGATTCATTCAGCTTTTTTTTTTTTTTTTTTGTGCTTAGCTGTGATTTGGTCACAGCTAATCACATGACACGTGCATGTGATTAGCTGTGACCATTCACAGCTAGGCACTAGTATACAATGGATGGCATCATGAATGAAGCCATCCATTGTATACAACTGTCATGTGACCTGCTGTGATTGGTCACAGCAGGTCACATGGTACTGGCAACGGGAGCTGGTACTCGGATCTGTCATCGGCCGTGTCCGAGGTGCACGGCCGACGAAAGATCGCACTGCTGCTGCGCTCGCTCTGCAACCGCGCAAACCGCGCATGTGCGGGAGCACGCCAAATGGCGTGCACCCGGAATACAGGAGCACATTTCAAGCCGCCAAACGGCCATTGGCCGGGCGGCTAATGGTTAATAATAATAATAATAATAATAAATAAAAAAAAAAAAATAGTTTATAACCAAAAATTATAATTTTTCAAACATTATTTTATTTTTTTATATTATTATTTATGTTTTTTTTTTATTACACTGATTGCATTTACAGCCTTTATGGGTGTACAAGCAATCATTTCTCCTTCTCTCTGGCTGCATTTGTGCAGCCATTGAGAAATATTGAGTGAGCTGTGATTGGTCACAGCTTGTCACATGGTGCAAGGCTGCTGTGAATGGCCCTGTACCATGTGATCTCTGTGATCATTCACAGATTTCACACGTAGTAAGCAATGATGTCAGAAGTGACATCTTGCTTACTACTCTGCATGTGATCACTGATTGGCCTATCAGTGATCACATGATCGGGACCTCGCACAGAGGTCCTGTACAGCGATTGGTGTTGCGCTGTGTTCGGAGGATCGTGGTACCGTGCACTCCCAGGGAGCGCGCACAGGCAGGGAAGCGGGGAGGACATTTATAAACTGCCACCCACCCCTGCACTGCTCCCGTCCAGCCATTTATGTAAATAGGCCGGACGGGAAGTGGTTAACGTGCCAAAAATTGTTATCTTGTTTTTGATGCAAATCTGCTTTTAACAAAAACAAAAACATTTCCTTACTGGTTAATAACAAAGCTTAATACAATGAAACAAATGAAAGATGAAACAATGAAACAACAGATCAGCAACACAGAAACAATGTTACACAAATGGCAGGTATCTAATAGCAATGGTAAAAATGGCTGAAATGATGAAATCTCCGACACCTTCCACTATCCAGGACTAGGGGAGGGGGCAGCAACCTCGGATCTCTTCCAGTTGTCTTTTCTAATCACTGGAACAATAGAAGGAAGAAAAAAAACTGAATTAAATCAATAAACATTGCTGTTTATCATCTTACAGTATATTTTTGCATTAAAAAAACATACAGTACATCCCTGCAACACATGCACATTTCTCCATGTTTGGTCAAACTAAAAAAAAAAAAATGCAAGTACAAAGCAATTTCTTTTAAATATGATGGGGTATAACTTGCAGAAGTGAGATGTTACTGAATGGAAAATAAACATGCTCTGGGACTCATGGCTATAGGGAGGAAATAGCTCAGAAACTCAAGGGGTTATAGGGAGGAAAGGACTTGGAGACCCAAGGGGTTATAGGGAGGAAAGGACTTGGAGTCCCAAGGGGTTATAGAGAGGAAAGAACTTGGAGACCCAAGGGGTTATAGAGAGGAAAGGACTTGGAGACCCAAGGGGTTATAGAGAGGAAAGAACTTGGAGACCCAAGGGGTTATAGGGAGGAAAGGACTAGGAGACCCAAGGGGTTATAGGGAGGAAAAGGACTTGGAGACCCAAGGGGTTATAGGGAGGAAAAGGACTTGGAGACCCAAGGGGTTATAGGGAGGAAAAGGACTTGGAGACCCAAGGGGTTATAGGGAGGAAAGGACTTGGAGACCCAAGAGGTTATAGGGAGGAAAGGACTTGGAGACCCAAGGGGTTATAGAGAGGAAAGGACTAGGAGATTCAAGGGGTTATAGAGAGGAAAGGACTAGGAGACCCAAGGGGTTATAGGGAGGAAAGGACTAGGAGACCCAAGGGGTTATAGGGAGGAAAGGACTAGGAGACCCAAGGGGTTATAGGGAGGAAAAGACTTGGAGACCCAAGGGGTTATAGGGAGGAAAAGACTTGGAGACCCAAGGGGTTATAGGGAGGAAAGGACTTGGAGACCCAAGGGGTTATAGGGAGGAAAAGACTTGGAGACCCAAGGGGTTATAGAGAGGAAAAGACTTGGAGACCCAAGGGGTTATAGGGAGGAAAGGACTTGGAGACCCAAGGGGTTATAGGGAGGAAAAGACTTGGAGACCCAAGGGGTTATAGGGAGGAAAGGACTTGGAGACCCAAGAGGTTATAGGGAGGAAGAGACTTGGAGACCCAAGAGGTTATAGGGAGGAAAGGACTTGGAGACCCAAGGGGTTATAGGGAGGAAAGGACTTGGAGACCCAAGGGGTTATAGAGAGGAAAGGACTAGGAGACCCAAGGGGTTATAGAGAGGAAAGGACTAGGAGACCCAAGGGGTTATAGAGAGGAAAGGACTAGGAGACCCAAGGGGTTATAGGGAGAAAAGGACTTGGAGACCCAAGGGGTTATAGGAAGGAAAGGACTTGGAGACCCAAGGGGTTATAGGGAGGAAAGGACTAGGAGTCCCAAGGTGTTATAGGGAGGAAAAGACTTGGAGACCCAAGGGGTTATAGGGAGGAAAGGACTTGGAGACCCAAGGTGTTATAGGGAGGAAAAGACTTGGAGGCCCAAGGGGTTATAAGGAGGAAAGGACTTGGAGACCCAAGGGGTTATAGGGAGGAAAGGACTTGGAGACCCAAGGGGTTATAGGGAGGAAAGGACTTGAAGACCCAAGGTGTTATAGGGAGGAAAAGACTTGGAGGCCCAAGGGGTTATAGGGAGGAAAGGACTAGGAGACCCAAGAGGTTATAGGGAGGAAAAGACCTGGAGACCCAAGGGGTTATAGAGAGGAAAGGACTAGGAGACCCAAGGGGTTATAGGGAGGAAAGGACTAGGAGA